CCTTCCTTCCTTCCTTCCTTCCTTCCTTCCTTCCTTCCTTCCTTCCTTCCTTCCTTCCTTCCTTCCTTCCTTCCTTCCTTCCTTCCTTCCTTCCTTCCTTCCTTCCTTCCTTCCTTCCTTCCTTCCTTCCTTCCTTCCTTCCTTCCTTCCTTCCTTCCTTCCTTCCTTCCTTCCTTCCTTCCTTCCTTCCTTCCTTCCTTCCTTCCTTCCTTCCTTCCTTCCTTCCTTCCTTCCTTCCTTCCTTCCTTCCTTCCTTCCTTCCTTCCTTCCTTCCTTCCTTCCTTCCTTCCTTCCTTCCTTCCTTCCTTCCTTCCTTCCTTCCTTCCTTCCTTCCTTCCTTCCTTCCTTCCTTCCTTCCTTCCTTCCTTCCTTCCTTCCTTCCTTCCTTCCTTCCTTCCTTCCTTCCTTCCTTCCTTCCTTCCTTCCTTCCTTCCTTCCTTCCTTCCTTCCTTCCTTCCTTCCTTCCTTCCTTCCTTCCTTCCTTCCTTCCTTCCTTCCTTCCTTCCTTCCTTCCTTCCTTCCTTCCTTCCTTCCTTCCTTCCTTCCTTCCTTCCTTCCTTCCTTCCTTCCTTCCTTCCTTCCTTCCTTCCTTCCTTCCTTCCTTCCTTCCTTCCTTCCTTCCTTCCTTCCTTCCTTCCTTCCTTCCTTCCTTCCTTCCTTCCTTCCTTCCTTCCTTCCTTCCTTCCTTCCTTCCTTCCTTCCTTCCTTCCTTCCTTCCTTCCTTCCTTCCTTCCTTCCTTCCTTCCTTCCTTCCTTCCTTCCTTCCTTCCTTCCTTCCTTCCTTCCTTCCTTCCTTCCTTCCTTCCTTCCTTCCTTCCTTCCTTCCTTCCTTCCTTCCTTCCTTCCTTCCACCCTTCAACACTTCCTGCCTTCCTTCTCTCACGTCCTTCCTTCCCAGAACCATACCCTCATGCGGATTTTTAGGGGCACTTGGCCCTCCCTTCCTGCTGCTTTGGCCAGCCTGGGACCTCCAGCAGGCCTGGGGCTCAGCACTGTCTGTGGTTGGGATGGAGCTAATTTCTGTTCCTAGCCAGTCGTGTGGTGCTCTGGTTTAGATGTGTGTCCCAGCCAGTGCTGAGAGCACACAGGTGCTTTAGCTATGGCTGAGGAGCGCTAGCACAGCACCCAGGCCTTCCCTCTTTCTCCTTCTGCCTGTCCGTGAGTGGGCAAGGGGTTTCTCAGCGACACAGCCAGGAGAGTGTCCCAAAGGCAGCAACCAAGGACAAGCTCTGTACCACAGAACGTTGTGCTGAGCAGTACCCTGGGATTTGTGGCAAGGAGGATTTTTTCTGAAAGAGCCATTGCTCACAAAACACCTGGGTATGGGCCACAGGTGGGACATGGTGCGGGACTCATTTTACATCTCATGTGTGGGGTTTGGTTCCTTTCTCTTGCATTTCTTGGCTTCTGGAAGGTGTCTCCCTCCTGACATGTCAGATATTCTCAGGTTCTGCACTTCTGGTTCCCTCCTCCTTCCTGCTGAGGTGAGGGCAAACCAGCGAGTGGCTGTGAGGGTGCTGAGCATCCAGCCAGGGGCACCCACCTCCCACTGACACACACAATGGCCCTGATGGTGTCTCAGCAGGAAGGGGAGCCTTAGGGAAGCAGTCAGAAGCCAAATCCTCTCTCTCATTCAGAAATATTCAGTCTGATACGGGACTGCTTCTTTTGCCCCAGGCCCCACCCCAGGGCTTCTGCCCACCTCCTTTGCCTTCCCCGCTTGGCCTGACACCCTCAGTCAACCTGTGCTTTCCTCCGGCAGCCTTCACACACAAAGAGACAACCGTGCCACACATCGCGCCGCCTCTGACCACGCAGAAGACCAGTGCCGCCACCTCCACCACTAGCACCTCCAAGACCTCTGTCTCCAGAGAGGCCAGCCCCGCCACCAGCACAGAAGTCCCTCTCACAACGACGGCTCCAAGCCCCAGCTCTCCGCCTGCCCCCAGCAGCCCGCTCAGCACCCGCCTGACATCTCCCGCCACTTCCACGCTCTCCTCCACAGCGGCCACAACCTCCAGCCCCAAGCCTACACCTACAGCCCTAAGGACCAAGCCTTCTGCCACAAGAACCGCTGCTCCAAAAGAGTTGCCTGCCACAGAGTCTTCTGCACCCTCCACAGCCAAAACCAGCCCCCTGCCTTCGACTGCTTCTTCTCCCTCCTCAACTGTGTCCTCAACATGGATGAGCTCCTCACACCCCGGTACGGCTCCCTCCGGTCCTTTCTCCTGCTTGTGTCTGCTCTTCCCAGCTCCTACCATTGTTTCATTCCTTCGTGCCTGCCTTCCACCCTGCCTTCCTTCCTTCTTTGCTTCCTCCCTTCCTTCTCTCCTGCCCTTCCGTCCAAGTAGCATAAACTCACTACAGATATTTTGGGGCCACTTGCCCCTACCTTCCTGCTGCCTTTGGCCAGCCTGGGACCTGCTACAGGCCTTGACACTCTGCACTGCTTCTGGTTGTGATGGAGCTAATTTACATTCCTAGAAAGTCTCGCAGTGCTCTGTTTTAGATATGTGCCCCAGCCAGTGTTCAGAGCACACAAGTGCTTTAGCTATGGCTGAGGAGTGCTAGCACAGCATCCAGGCCTTCCCTCTTTCTCCTTCTGCCTGCCAGCGAGTGGCAAGTGATGGCTCAGCGACACAGCCAGGAGAGTGACCCAAAGGGAGAGACCAAGGACAAGCTCTGTACCACAGAATGTCATTTTGAGCAGTAAAACAGGAGGGTGCCCAGGAGGAGTTTTTCCCACGTAGCCAGTGCTCGCAGACTGCCTCAGCATTGGCCACCAGTGGGAGGAGGGAGGGATCCCTTTGCATCTCATGGGTTGGTTTTGAGTGGTTTTCCCCTCCATTTTTTCAGTTATGGAAGACGTCTCTCTCCTGACATGTCAGGTTTTCTAGACTTTTGTACTGCTGTTTCTCTCCTCCTTCCTGCTGAGGTGAGGGCAAGCAAGCAAGTGGCTGTGTGGGTGCTGAGCATCCACACAGGGCCACCCCACTGCAAACTGACACACACATTGGACCCAACTGCATCTCAGCAGGACGGGGTGGCTTGGGGAAGCAGCAGAAGCACCATCCTCTCACTCACTCAGTGAGACTCGGTGCGATACATGGCTGCTTCTTTTGCCCCAGGCCCCATCCCAGGGCTTCTGCCAACCTCCTTTGCCTTCCCCGCTTGGCCTGACACCCTCAGTCTACCTGTGCTTTCCTCCAGCAGCCTTCACACACAAAGAGACAACCGTGCCACACATATCACCGCCTCTGACCACGCAGAAGACCAGCGCCGCCACCTCCGCCACCAGCACCTCCAAGACCTCTGTCTCCAGAGAGGCCAGCCCAGCCACCAGCACAGAAGTCCCTCTCACAACGACGGCTCCAAGCCCCAGCTCTACGCCTGCCCCCAGCAGTCCACTCAGCACCCGCCTGACATCTCCCACCACTTCCACGCTCTCCTCCACAGCAGCCACAACCTCCAGCCCCAAGCCTACACCTACAACCCTAAGGACCAAGCCTTCTGCCACGAGAACCGCTGCTCCAAAAGAGTTGCCTGCCACAGAGTCTTCTGCACCCTCCACAGCCAAAACCAGCCCCCTGCCTTCGACTGCTTCTTCTCCCTCCTCAACTGTGTCCTCAACATGGATGAGCTCCTCGCACCCCGGTACGGCTCCCTCCAGCCCTTCCTTCTCATTCTCCCTGCTTTTCTCAGCTCTTAACATTCATTCCTTCCTTCCTTCGACCCTTCATGCCTTCATTCTCTCACGCTCTTCCTGCCCAGAACCATAAACTCATGGCGGATCTTTTTGGGTACTTGCCCCTCCCTTCCCGCTGCCTTTGGCCAGCCTGGGACCTGCTACAGGCCTTGACGCTCTGCACTGCCTCTTGTTGTGACGGAGCTAATTTCCATTCCTAGAAATTCTCGCAGTGCTCTGCTTTAGATGTGTGCCCCAGTCAGTGTTCAGAGCACACAAGTGCTTTAGCCATGGCTGAGGAGCACTAGCACAGCATCCAGGCCTTCCCATTTTCTCCTTCTGCCTGCCAGCGAGTGTCAAGAGGTGGCTCAGCAACACAGCCAGGAGAGTGACACAAAGGGAGACACCAAAGACATGCTTTGTACCACAGAATGTTTTATGGAGCAGTAAAACAGGGGGGTGGACACGAGGAGCTTTTCCTAAATAGCCATTGCACACAGAAGGCATGGGCATTGGCCACCAATGGGAGGTAGGGACTGCCTTTGTGTCTCATGGGTGGCTTTTGGGTTGTTTTCGCTTCCCTTTCTTCAATTTTGGAAGAAGTCAGTGAGAGAACAGACTACAGAAGGTGCCCTGCTGTATCTCCTCTTTGTGAACAGAGAAGGACTGGTGGATTATGTGGCGGTTGGAGGCCAACTAGGGCACAGCGATCACAAAGTTATAGTGTTCTCTATTCTTAGAGAGGTCAGGAGAGCGCTAAGCAGCACCGACATCCTGGACTTCAGAAGGGCTGACTTTGTCTTGTTTAGGCACCTGTTTGAAAGGATCCCCTGGGAGATGGTCCTGAAGGGTACAGGGGCCCAGGAAGGCTGGGAGCTCTTCAAGAAGGCAGCGTTAATGGCTCAGGAGCAGGCGGTCCCCAGGCACTGTAAGAGAAGCCGAAGCCAGAGAAGACCACCCTGGCTGAACAGGGAGCTTTGGCTGCATCTCAGGGACAAAAGGAGAGTTTACAGCCTTTGGAAGAAGGGGCTAACCCTCACAGTGATTACAAAGGCGCTGTGAGGCTATGCAGGGTGGAAATCAGGAGGGCTAAAGCCCATCTGGAAATTAATTTGGCCTCTGCAATCAAGGATAACAAGAAATGTTTCTGTAAGTATGTCAGTAGCAAAAGAAAGTCCAGGGAGAGTCTCCATCCCCTGCTAGATGCAGGAGGGAACATGGTAACAAGTGTTGAGGAGAAGGCTGGGGTGCTTAATGCCTTCTCTGCCTCAGTCTTTAATAACAAGATTAGTTGCATTGATGCAATCCAGCCTCCACAGCCAGAATACAGAGACCGGGAGAACGACCCCCCTGCAATGCAGGAGACAGTCAGTGACCTG